TCACAAAACTACTTAAAAATTGCCATGGTTCTAGGGGGTCAGAACTCTAGCTGTTGGCATAATTTTAGATGCAATTTGAGGCATACATTAAATGAGTGCTTATAGAATTTATTAGGATTTTCCTAAAAAGCCAAACCAGTAGTATATGCTTGCGGATTGATAAGGAATGACATATGAGGGAATTGCCTTCTGGGATTGTGGTTGGCACGCAGCTGCTTGTTTATAATCACTTGTGCCACTCCCTCCAGCGAGTTCCAGTTCTGGGTTCTTACATTAGACTTCTACCATGGTCTGTGCAGCCCCAGCTCTCACCAGTCTCCACCTCGTATGATACTATGCTGAGGCTGCACCCATAATGATAGAAATTTGAAGTTTCCAAAGTCTGCTCTGAGTTCTTTGGATTTTCACTATATGTATTCTACCCAGCAGGACTCTAACTCAACTACTGAGTGTTAGTAACGCTCAAGCATGTGTTTCAATCCCCAAATCTCCTTGAGCTTTTCCATAACAATATGTCTTACTGCCTACTGGGTGTCTCTGTTCCATAAACACGTGTAATTTGCACATGCTTTCTCTGCAGTGTCCTGGCTCTCAATGAGTGACAATAACTGGTGCTTCAACCAGTGAGATTCATGGTTGACTTTGTGTTCACTCTCACCATCACCAGTTCATTGCTCATTCCAAAACAGATTAAAAATCTTTCACTTCTCTTTCTGTCACATTTGATTTTGCCTGTAATTTTATAGTGGTTGATCCTACCTGCTACAACCACAGTCAGCTCTCTGAAGTACGACAAGGGCTCCTGAGTGTTTTGGGGAGAGCTGCTGATCTGGTTCAAAACTCCATACTGTGATTTTCCATGTTCAGAGCTTCTGATGGCATTGCCTTTTTGTGTTTAACACTCTGACTTCTCCTTCCTTCCAAATATACACTCTTTTAGTATTCTGATTTTTCTTTCGATGTCTAATTTGCATAATTTCTTACCCATAGCTTAGTATTCCCTCCACATGAAATAATATTTCTTTATAAAGATCTTCCTTCAATAATCCCAGTTTTCCACTGTGTCCTACCACAAGTGCCACTTTTTCTGGGAAGCCTTGTCTATGTTACACCACACCGACCTGGGTCCCTAAAGTTGCCCTTTCCGTTCTGCAAGTACTTGATTGTTAATTTGCTGTCTTTTATGATGGCCAGATCCTTAAGAACTTGTCTACCAATATCCTTAGTGTGAATTGCAATGTTTGACAGCCATTCAGATATTGATAAATATTTAAGGAATAAATGGATGAAAGTGTTTAGCCAACAAATGTAAATCCTTATTTTATTTTATTATTTTATTTTATTTTATTTTTTATTTCATTTTATGACAAAGTTTCATAGGCTCTGGGATTCCCCCAACCCCTCCCCAGCCCTCCCCCCATACTGAATTCCTCCATATTATTACAGTAGTACAGTTCATAACCAGTCATGATTCCTTCATTGTGAGCATGGACCATGGAAATAGTTCAGCATCTTATTTTCCAGATACATTCAACAGTTTCATTGAGAGACCATTCTTGGTGTGAAAGTAGAGCTGGCAGGATATTATCCCCTCCATGAGATGCCACTATACAACTTCAACAACAGAAAGAAACATGGAAATTAGCTACATCATGAAGTTAATTACCATGGTATTTGGTGACCAATATGTTAGAAAATGCAAGTTCTTTACCACATCCTATAACTACTTCCTTGACATCTCAATTTTAGTATATACACAACCGGCTGCTATAGCCCTTAAATTGGTTATCGGGTACTATTCAGCTGTCTCATGTCTATTTTCATTTTTATAGTAAATCTATATTTTAAGACTCAGGATCTCTCATTCTAAGTACACTACACAACTGCATCCTACTGTTTCCATGTCAAAAACATTAATGGAATTTCTAAGGTAAAAGAGTAAGGCAGAGGGGAGCTAAGTATATTTAAGAGAAAATCAGAAAAAGTATTTGATTCTAAGAGAAAAAAGTAAAAGAGATATTGGGGGATTTTTAAAAATAAATATTTATTTGAAAGAGTTACAAAGAGGGAGCTGAAGAGGTAAAGAACGTGAGAAAAAGAAAGGGAGAAAGAGAGAGGGGGGAGAAAAGAGAGAGAGAGCTTTAGTCCACTGGTCAACTCCCTAAATGGCCGTGATGGCCAGGGTTGGGCCAGGCCATGTCCATGAGCCAGGAGCTTCTTTGGAATTTCCCTTGTAGGCACAGAAGCCCAAGCACTTGGGCCATTTTCTGCTGCTTTCCCAGATGCATGAGCAAGGAGCTGGACCATTAGTGAATACTCAGGGCTTGAACCCTTAAACTGATGTCCTTATAGGGTACTGTTGCCGCAGGTGGCTGACCCCTATAACAGGAAATTTGACCCCATTCTATTTAGCTTTTTTGTGAGCCAGATCATTAGAAGTAGTGTCATTCAATTAAAAAAAAAATAGGAACATTGAAGTCAAGATAGAATACTTTAACAAAAATACAGTTATTTATTCATGCAGAATCATACTTCAAGGGGATCTTTTCCTCCTTTCCCTTGAAAAAAAAATCGAAAAATTATTTGAAAGTTACTCTATGTACTGTTTAAAAGTGAAGTGGCCTAAAGCTTGCAGGCATTGTGTGTGTGGTAAAACAGGCTTTCAAAGCAGACTTCCATCCTTAAAGCCAGGACTTTAATCTAGTGCCTCTGTCTTCCCTTTATATTTCTCTCAGTAAGGTTTATCTTTTGATGCTTTCTTGTAGAATGATCTGGGCATTTTTTAAGTCAGTGTATTTATTTAATACTGTGCACATTATTCCTTGAAAACACTTACTTATCATAGGTTTGGTGCAGTGTTAGAGAAGCCCACCCCATGTGCAGGATTCTGTAACAGCCCGAGTCAGCCCACACAAGAATTAGTACTGGTTCACCAGGGAAAACACAGTCCATCGTCACTATGTGTACGTTACTTTGTTTACACATCACAGTGGTGACGCTGAAAATAGTGGGCTGGCTTCTGTATATTCCTTTTCTTTCATTCTTTTATTTGAAGATAGTGAGTGAAAAAGTCTTCTACTCTCTCTCTTTAGCCTATATCTAGACCTAGTATATTTGGCATATTTTTCTGGAAATGCATTTTTTCATCAATGTAAGAAGATATAGATAGAAACACTACACAGAGCCCAATCCAGGATATATAGCAGGTTATATGGAACTGAAGTTTAAAACAGTCTTAGGAGGCATGAGTGTGAAGCAACTCATCTTAGAAGAGAAGCAGCACTTCAGACAACCGATGAGCCTTGTAGATTGCACTTGTGTTGGCAACAACTGCGTTGCTGCATACCCGCCTAGGGACTAGGGTTACAAAAAAGACAACACACAGTGGGCCATTCTTGTAGAGAATGCAGTTTATTCAAAGTTGGTTTGCATTTTTATAATCTGCTTAGCTCCTCCCAGTACTTCCCAATGCTCAAGGAACTCTTAAGCTCCCCCAAGGGCATCTTAAAAAACGGAAAGCAGGGAAGAGGGAACTTGCAATCAAACCAGGGGCTAAATGTATCAGGCCGAGGTTGCCCTTCCTGTTACACCTTGAGAAACAAGCTAAGCTGTGGAGTTAACCCTTGGGAGACCCGGCCATGCACACTTGTGAATAGCTGAGCTCTTGTTTGTGCAGTCTGTGCTTTGATCTGTGTCTGAAGCTTTGGCCTTCCTGAACACTAGGCTTGCTTAGTTAATTACTGGCAAGAATTCACTGAAAGATTGGCTTATGGTACCTAGTCAGTCAAAAAGCCAATGAAATATATCATTTCAAAACTCTACAGTGTGTATGTATTTATATTTCACAAATAAGGATTCAAATAAGGATTTTTGAAAACATTATAACTTTAGGTCCTTAATGGAAAATCTAAGTGATTCAGTGACCAGGTTGATGTGTCCTTTACAGTAGGATCTTTCAGGTGTTCATGCAAGGAGGAATCACACGGTTGCCAAATGTTCTTCTTCTTCTTCTTCTTCTTTTTTAAACTCAAACTGCCATACTTTAAAGTCCCTTTGTGTTTTTTATCCTTACTGAGTTCTGTGTAAGATACCCGTATATACACTCTTCTCCCTGCTACTCAGAGGATTTTCAGATTCTTTGCCTTTTGCAGCCACAATAAATAAAAGGTATTTTTGTCATTGGTGGGGCAAGTTAAGTCATTGCTTGGGACATCTGCATTCCAGATCAGAGGCCCAGCTCCTCTCCTTCCAATTCAGCTTCTGGACGATGTACTTGAGATAGCTCCTGGCCATGATATGCCCAGCATAGGCTGTTGTGGGTGTTGGTAAACAACGGGTAGAAGATACCTCTCTCTCCCTCTCTCTTTCTTTCTCTTGCAACCTCTCCTCTCTTCTGCTCCCCCACTTCCCCATTCCCCAATGTACCTCCCTTCCTCCCTCTCTTTGCCTTTTAAGCAGGCAATCCTGTAAAATTCTAAAAGTACTCATTTGTTTAAATGGTATAAGAATCAACAGCATTAGTCGTACAATTATAACAAGTCTTGACATGCACGTGTGAGTATTCAGTCGGTATGCACTTAGTAGACATTGACACTGACCCTGCAATCTGTTAGATCCTGCGTTTGCTTGGAATTGTGAAGGCAAAACAACAGAATAATTGACTCTTTGTTGGGCTCTATATTGTTCGTGCAGATATCTCTTTAGTATGGGCAATCAAGTGGCTCTTTGGATGTTAAATATCTGTCACATGAATAAATGACCCCGAAAGACCCCAACAGCTCAGACTTCTAGTCCATCAAAGTATATACCTGAAGTCTATGTGGTATGTAGGTATGTTAAATTATCTTTCTGAGACCCAGAACTGTTCCTTCTTACTGAATGAGGTGTATACCACACACACAACACATAGCATAAGCATTTGGACAGAGTTTTAAAGGTCAGAAGATAGAACAAGTATACAGCTTAAATGAAGTGCTTCTTTTCTGTTCTTACCATTTCAGATGATGGAAAGTTGTCCTTTGAAGAATCCAAAGCCTACTTTGCAGATGGTGTTCTCAGTGGAGAAGAATTACATGAGCTCTTCCACACCATTGACACCCATAACACAAAGTAAGGATTTCGAACTAGATTCTGTAAATGGGGCAGAGAGAGTGTGAGTGAGGACATGCGCATGAAGAGGAGAGAGGAGAGACACATGGAGGGCACATTCTGTAATGCTTCCCTAAGTCTGATTATGAGATAACTCCTCTTTAATAATTGAAATGCTCTGAAAGGCCGAACAATCTCCAGGAAGCTCTTCTAAAGTGGTTTTAGATTGCTCCCTTTTAGCAGAATGCAAAACAAGAGAATATAAGTAATTCTCTTATTAATAGACAAGTGGAATTTTGCCTTGTTACTTAGGTGTCATGTCAATTTGCCTTGTTTAAAAATTGGCCTTAAAGTTTTCTTATCGTAGTGATATGGGTGGTTTGTAGCAGTCATCTGGACACTTCAGGTAATCAGTGCTAAGTCGTTGTTAGCGGAGGGGTGCAAGTGTGTAGGACACAAAATTATCCCTGAATAGTCAATGTCTGTAGTGACCTATCCATTTAATTTACTTTCCCTAAATACATCTCTTTTTCATTAATATAATGCTTAGACTGTTCTGTATTAATGCATTTAAGAATGTCCTATGTGTATACTCATTATGCCTAAAGTATATAATAATGAGGACTTTGAGCTATAAAACAATAGAGATCTGCCTTTGTTTTGATTAAACTGGATGACGTTCTTTTGTGAAAAAGCACCATTTCAGCCATGCCTTTGGACTCGTCTGTGTGACTGTTGCGTGAACAGTCACAATCTTGCATTAGGCAAAGTGTGGTGTTGGTGTCAGGTAGTGAGATAGCACATAAAAAATCAAAAACAAATGCTTTAGGGATATATCTGTGAATAAACATGTTCTTCAGGCCAGCTATTAAAATTTTAAAAGATTAAATTCCATTTTCTCAAGCTGCTGATTGTTTTTTTTTAAATTTTTTTAAAGATGTATTTTTATTATTTTTTTTTATTGGAAAGGCAGATATACAGAGAGGAGAGACAGAGAGGAAGATCTTCCGTCCAATGATTCACTCCCCAAGTGAGCGCAACAGCCGATGCTATGCCAATCCGAAGCCAGGAGCCTCTTCCTGGTCTCCCACGCGGGTGCAGGGTCCCAAAGCTTTGGGCCGTCCTGGACTGCCTTCCTGGGCCACAGGCAGGGAGCTGGAAGGGAAGCGGGGCCACTGGGATAGAACCGGTGCTCACATGGGATCCTGGGCGTGTAAGGTGAGGACCTTAACCACTTGCGCCACCGCGCCGGGCCCAAAAAACACAATTTTCAATAGATCTTGTTGGGCTGATTTTGATATTTTAATTGACATGGCTTTAAAATTATGTGCTAAGGATGTATCAATGAGGATTTGTATATTAAGTGTAAAGGAATAATTATCATTGTTAGTTATTCTCATGCATTAGGAACAACAGTAAATGTCATCTGATCATAATGATATTCAACCTAATTTGGAGTTAAAGTATAAGAGATAGAGGCTTCTTAATTATATTTATGAAGTTCCCTTGGGGAGAAAAAAAGGTGTCAGTGTCACACTTTGATCTTTTAGGAACATCAATTCAAACATTGGCATGGAAACTTCAGAGCTTTACTTTAAGCAAGTGATAGCTGTTATCTTTGCATAATACAAATTTTAATTATTTTCCCAATTGTGCTACATTGCCCATTTTTCGCCCCTTCCTCATACCCTCTAAGGAAATAAGTTCTCCTCCCAATCCTGCTGCTGCTCAGCTCTCCCCAACCTCTTTAATCTAATCAAGGCCACAGCCTCATGGGGGAGCCTACTCCTACAGAGGCTGGACTTGAGTAGTCAGATTTCATCCACATTTTGTGGGAGGAGGAGAGATTCAGAGTCCCTCTCTGCTGCAGAGGTCCCCAAGGTACCTGGTTGTTTAAAACCTGTTAGTTTAACCTCTTCTTGGATTGCAGAAATAAGCATCTGTTTAATACTGTACATGTTCTATAATACATTGTAATCCATCCTATTCTATACCAAATTGTATTCTAAGTATCACCAAATTCATTCTGCTATTTATGGAAACGTAAGTCTCTTGCCTGGAAAACCTTATATCTGCCATGTTTGCCAAGTGATATGTCTACCTTGAAAATATTTGGGAAGAAAGACAAAAGATACATAATTTCTGGGTCAAATATACTTAATCTTCATTTAAAAGAAAAAGGAATTATTAATTTCCTATTTTACCTAGTTTTATCTCTTTCTCTTCCACCAGAAAACTATGCATTTTGGTCAACTTTTCTAAGAGTTGCCATTCAGGGAGGAAAAAGAGTTAATTAGATTCCACAAAACTTAAGCCTGGAGATAAATAAGCAAAAAACAAATCTGCAGTTTAGTAGCTTATAAAGTAAGGCTACCACAGCAGATGGAGAGCAAAAATATTCACAAGGACGAGCATTAGGTCAACAGGAACCTTTTAGGGTTTATCACAAGTGTTCTCACTCACAAAAAAACCAGCTTGTCCAGATTTTTGAGTTAGAGGAAAATATGTCGAATTTAGCATAAATCCTGCGGGTTAAGTCATAGCAGAAGAGGAGAGAAAGATGCCTTGGAGTCCAGTATGATTCTCTCCGAGTGTAGCAACTTGGACTTGCAGATTGTCAGGGCAGAGCAAATGGCAGACCAGATGGAAGCTGTATTGCAGGATGAAAGAATGGGCATACTCTAAAAGGTCCCATGGCCTTCATATGCAGCTTGTGACAAAGGACAGATAACTGATGTATCTAAGTCAACAGTTCTTTGTTCTAAGTTAAAATAAGTTTTGGGTGTTGAACACTGAAATTTTAACTCCAAACTTGTTAAATCATTGAAGCACACTAATGCAACAAAAATATCACCACCTCCAAAAAGAGCTGCTTCTGAAAGTTTCAAAAGCTCTTTCTTAAACTGCAGTGTAATTTCTCTTTCTAAACTTCCACTTAGTTCTGTCCCTTAGGGCCATTCAGAATATAAATATTTTATGACAGGTCTTTCTAACAGTTGAAGGCAGCTTTCATGCATCAATGATTGGATAAACTCCCATAATAATTGAGAAGTAATTATAAAAATTGTGTCAGATGGCAGAATTCTACTTCTGAAAAAAGTTGCTTATTCTAAATTGTTGTATTCTAGTGAAATTGTAAAGCTTGAAGAGCTGGTTTATAAAGTTATCCAACTTTACTTTACGCAAGATTTCCTCCTTGAGTTATCCACCTCACTGCTTAAGTAGACATGGTTTCTGGAAAGCAGGAAAAGAAGGCAAAGGCATGACTCCTGGAATGAGCCCCAAACCCTGCATGGCATTGTGAGTACAAAGTTGATTTCAATTCCAGTAGTGGACAAGAGAGACCTTTGTATTAACATAACTAAACTAGCTTTATTTAGAACTGGAGGCTTACAAAAAATGTCAAGACTTAAGTGTCTAGAAAAAATGCAGCAAGTCACAATCCCAGGTGCTATTCAAGCAAGTGTGCCATGACTGAGGAGAAGGAGTGAAAATGAAGGAGTGAGGGAGAAGGAGCAGGAGAGGGCGAGAAGCAATGTGTCAAGAGAACAAAGTGAAAATCAGAGTCCATCAGACTGGAATTAGTAGACAGAGTGTAGATGTTTCAGGGTTGAGATCCAGCCGCACAGATAGGGTTAAGGAGCCTTACTAAAATGGCATTACAAGTACTCAGACGTAGCCTAAACTGGTCAAGAGGATGCTGGCAGAAAGCACAGCATGCAGGTGAGACACTTCTTGCTATCCACGATCAAATCTTAGCTATAGGAACTAGGGTGTGGACTGATCTCTGTCCAGGCTTTAGGTGGCCCTACTGGCATAAGCAGATAAAGCCAGCAAATGTGTGCTGCGTTCAAGGCAGAGGTATGAGCTCTAGAATTTGTCCTTGTATGCCAAATGAGGGATGAATGGTCTTTAACTGGCCAAAAGCTGTAGCAGGAAAGCTAAATACCTGTAAGACAGTTTTTCCTCAGCTTCTTCTAGGTTCTATTTGACCAAAATCACAAGAGAGAAAATGATACTGTGGTAAGCAGGGCTTACCGATTGTGAGTGACAGAAGCATAAACTGAGATGATTTAGGGAAATACTTAACTGTCATTTGTCTGGCAAGTCGAGCATGAAATTTCATATGTGCTGGGGCTAGTTGCTCAAACACTGATGCTAGAAGTCCATCTTCCATTACCCCTCATCTATTCTCTCTGTGTCGGCTGTTCTTTTGTGGATCTCCATAGTTGAGAGGTCACGCGGTTTATATTGCCATGAGTCTGCAAGTTCTAAGACTGCGTGTCCCAGAATTTGATCTTGAGTCATGTTAACCTGTGTTGGATCTCATAGATGCCTTTGAATAAATCAGTGTCTTCAGGAAAACACATGTGAAATGGAAGCAGGATGCTGTTTCAGAATAAAGAGGAATCAACCTTGGGCAACTAAAATTGAGACTCGTCCAGGTCAAGTAATTACTTAGCTTCCAAGACCTCCCTTTAACATCGCATATTTTATAGGAAGGGAATCCCCTCCACAAGAAGACAAAGGGCTTGGTGAAGTTTGAACTTCAGAGAACTCCTATGAATTATGAATGAATTAGGAAAATCCATAGCTAGCCATAATAGAGAAGACTGAGGTCAGGAGAAGGCTTTGCTGTCACAGGCACCCTGATCCCACTGAGCTGTCCATGGTCCTAGCCTGTCATCCTTCCTCATCTCACTTGGATTGTGTCTATTCCTAGAGAAGCTGCTTTCCTGCCTTACTTCCAACACCAAACTAAGGCCAATTCTCTGCCCTCCGTCTCCCTGCCAGGTCTGTGTATCTGTACGAACTGCTGAAAGGGAGACTTACTAACATCTGTTCTTTCTTTAGTCTTTCAGCATAGCCACCCGGGGAGTTTTGATAGTTTCGGGAAATTCTCACATATTGCCTTATTCATTTTCTCTGAGTTTAAAATTTAGAAAGAAATGTGTGCACATTATTAAGAGAAGCACAGTTTGATTCTATCCTGTACAGGTGCCATTCCTACCACATTTTTAGAGACGGAGAACTGAAGTCTTGTAAGCTTGCCATGACTCACTAATCTGTTACTGGATCTCCAGGCACTGATTCCATTAGTCCAAGAGAACTAGCATGGTCATCAGATTTATCTATCATTCACACATTTTGGGGGGATGTTGGTTTGACTTTAGTAATTGCACAAACTCATTTATTTGCTTTGACCATCTGTTTCTTCAACTCACAGATGTGGAAGGAAAAAAAAAAAGTGGTTATTTCCTGAGAATAGTTTAAACATTCTTTTCATTCCTGTTAAAGCGTTTCTTTAGCACATGGCCATTCCTCCTAAACTAAGTCACCCCACAATTCATGGTGTGGATTGGTTCAGAGGATTTCTCCCTGGGGGAATAGTGCCAGAATCAAACAACAAAATTCTTTTTGATAATTAAGAAGTCTAACATAGTTTGGGGGATTTATTAAGGAGAGAATTTTAATGATGTGAGAATGGCTTATCCTTTATCCTAGAAGTACCAGTTTTATCTAAAATAATGGTAGTAACCAGACCAGATTTGTTCCAAAGTAGATATGATTTTCAAAAGAACAATTTTTAAAGGAAATATTTAATTTTTAATTGAATGAATTAAATGAATTAAAGAGCATTTTTTAGTTACTATGTGCCATGCAATAATTTGCAGCATCTTCTTTCATCTCAGAAACCAAAAAGAAATGTATTATTATCGACAGGCTGCAATGGAATGATCAGAAGAAGGAAGTTAAATAGCTTGCTCTAAATTACCCAGATAGTATCTGTAAGTGACTTGGATTTTCACAGGTGTGACTGTAAACAAAACTCAAACTATCCATTGCCATACAGCTTCGATACAACCTCATATGTTAGCCGTAGTTTTATATCATAAATCAAAATATTCTAAGACCAATTTAAAAATCATGTAGAGGTGTTTTATTCTGGAGGAAAAGATGGTTACTCCTCTCTAGCTGTACACTATCTTTGGATGTACAGTATAGAGGTAATTGCTTTAATTAGTGCCTTTGTTGCCTAACTTTTAATATCTATTGTATAGGATTTTTACAGTGTGGGAGTTGCTTCAGTGTAGAAATGTTATTCCCTTGTCTTCTGTAGACATTGTTTCCATTCTTTGCCCAGTTCCCCTTGCTCTGTCCTACCTGCACACTTGGAATTCATCTTCTTTTAGACTTACTCATTACTCCCTCCCGTTGCTTTGTGCTTGCCTTCTTTTCTCTGTTGTTCTTGAGAACACTCAGTTTTACTGCTTCTTTTAATCAGTGTATGAAGGCCTTTGCTTTCAAACTATTTCAGATATTTTACATTTCTGACCAAGTTATTTTTTGCTTGTCAGCTGTTCCACTCAATAAAACTTGAATAATCCTTTAATGTTAATTGAACTCTCTTACCATTGGCCAGTAGGCAATGCCTTAAGTAAAATCAATTACTGATCAGAATGAGTACTGCTTACTGAGCAACCTAGGTAAATTATCTATTCACATAAATGTAATGCTCTTTCTTATCTCACAGATGCCAATAGATGGATGAAATCAGTGTAATAAATGTTCAGTCCTCATTACTTTAAAACCCATGCTGCTCACTTCACGGATTGCCTCTTCCCACATGGCCAATGCACCAACCAATTCTGTCCTCTTTTCTTCAGGCTTCACCATTGCTACCAGAGCACGGACTTTCCACATTAGTCTCAGGAATCATTAGTTTGTTACAGCAGTTAGAGCTGTTCTTCCCTAAGCTCCTATGCACTTTCAGAAGTCTTGAGACAAATGTGAAATAGAAATAACCAGAAGGTCATTGTGTACTTTTATTTATTTATTTTTATTTTTTGTTTACATTTTTTTATTATCATTTCACGATACAGTTCCATATTCCCTTATCCCCTCCCCAATTCTCTCCCCCCACCTAGTTCCTCTATATTGTTACTAATAATATAGTTCTTCATACACAGTTATATGTCCATTATTGCGGGCATGGACAATGGGAGCGAGTCCAGCATCCTATTGTCAAGATAGAGTAAACAGTTTCATTGCAAGTCCATCTTTGTCTGGAAGCAGAAACGCATACTACACTGCATCCTCACATCTGGATGTTAGTCTCCATTTCACAGCTACTGTACATTCCCTTAAATGAAAAGTCATAATACAAATCAACAATAGAAAGAAAAAAAAGAAATTTACAATGCCATGAAGTTAAATGACATGTTACTAGATATGACAGTTCTTGATCTGCTGGCCATCAGATCTGAGGGCTACTCAGACAGTCTTGGGTGTAACCTGTAAAATGCCATGTCGATGCAGTTCACTGAGTCAGGAATGAGTTCACTCCCAGCCCAGTGTATGCTCAGTCCTTTCCCTTGCCTTTGCCTCCTTATGCAAAATGGCACCCAATTCAGCTCTAGGGAGCTGACTGGACTATGAAATCTACCCTGTTCCCTCACTGCCCATCTGGGATCTGCTGCTCTGTCTCTGCTCCTGGTCAAATCAAATGGACCAGTAGAACGGGCAGTTCTTTGTCTAGGTTCACCTCTCATGCTCCCAGTGAAAGTCCCTTCCCACGTAGTTGCTGGTGGAGTTCCGGCTGTTGGTGGAGTTCAGATTGCTGTTAGCTGAATACCACTGAATTATCAGTCACTGCAACACCACACCATTGTTTTCGCTACTTTCCTGTGTCTGTCAGTCTCCAGGTACCCCTCTGCTGTTGTTCTGTCCTTTCCTATTTCCTGAAATATGTCCTCTGCTTCATCCTAGTTAAATGTTTTTCCATCCGTTTAAATGTGCCCTTACGCTATTCCACCATCTTGATTCTCTATTGTGTGCTTTTAAAGTGAAGAGCTTATTTTTTAAGGATACATTTGTTTATTTTGGAAATCAGAGTTACATATTTAAAAAAAAAAAAAGAAAGGCAGAAAGAAATATGTATCTAGAGAGGGAGAGGGAAAAGAGAGGGAAGGGACTTCCTGTTGGTTCACTCCCCAGATGGCTGCAAGATCAGTACTTTGCCAGGCCACAGTGAGGATCTTAGATTCCATCTGGGTCTCCCACATGAGTGGTGGGCGCCCAAGCACTTGGGGCATTTTCCACTGCCTTCCCAAGTGCTTTAGCAGAGAGCAGGATCTGAAATGGAGCAGGTGAGATACAAACCATTGCTCCTATGAGATATTGCCCTCTGAGGGAGGAGCTTAATCCACTGTACTATGAAGTCAGCTTGCAGAAGTGAAGGTGTTATTCAAATTTTATTATGATTTATCTTTTGGGGTTTTAGGGTTTTTTTGATAATTGTTCCATTAGTATGCTAATCTTGTCATCAGGCATAGCTAAATTCTTTTGAAATAAGGACATTGTTCCCCATTGCTTCCAGAAATCACTATAGCATTGAATAAATATTTGGCTAATTGATTGATATAGAAGCAGCATATACTGATTAGCTCTGAGAGGCATGAAACTACATTGATGGTGACTTTTAGGATTTAGATGCTGTTTGACTGTAATGCCGTTATAGGATCCCATCAAATAAAAGAGAACTGACATTTTTGGTCGGGAGCAGAGTATGATAAATTTGGCTTTTGACTATTAATTAAACTTAAGCAACTGCAAAGATTCCTTCCCTTTTAAAATAGCACTCTGTTACAAGATGTGATTTATAATTTCAATGTAAATGTGGATTATTTTTCTTTTTAGACACAAATATGTTCAAATGAACAATTTCTTTTTACTATTATAATTAGTGGATATTCATTTACATATTAAAGTTTTGTTACTTAAAAAGAAGCTCCCACTATGTAGAACATTGCATTTCTTTTCTTGCCATGAAAGGTTTTTCAGTGAGAGAAAAAGCAAAAAAAAAAAAAAAAAACAAAAAAACCAGATAAAATACCAATCGCTTTGTCCAATATGGGTGTCAACTTGTCTCATTCACTAATAAAGGTAGTGGTTTCATTTCCATTTTTCCAGCAAATCTATTGTGAATCAACATTAGACTAAAAATAATGACAGAAGAGTTCGAATGTGCATGCAGTGGACTGAAGGTCTTTGGTTTCTTGCGGTGGCAGCTTTCTGTGCATCACCCTGTCCTCACTGCCGTCAGACTGATATTATTGCTGAGACTACCACAAAGATTGTCTCTCTTTCACTTTTTGTGAATTGTAATTTCCCAGTGAGAATTCACATTGTCAGATTTGACAGCCATTATTCCAGCTGAACTTACAGCTTGCAAGAAATTAGTCATTTACTTCATAACTGCTCATTCATTTGTTCAATAAGGATTTGTAATTATCAATAATAGCATGGGTCATGAATATGCATACATGAACAGTTATTACCTTATGTTTAAGCGAGAATGACACAGTGATTGATAGAAAGTGTTACTCAATAATTCATGGAGGGTAGCCATTGCTGTTGAAAAGGAGTCAGATGTCCTGCTTGCTCTGCCTGAGGAACGTGAGAAGGCATTGCGATGCACTGGCATTTCCATCTTCAGCGCAGGCATTAACCGCTATGGTGAGACAGGCACCTGTTCTGTGCTGCAGTGCTGACACTCAGTGTCTGACTCTGGCTCTTGACCCCAGATTCCTGCTGGTATAGACACAGGGCCACGTAACCAGGCTCCTCCTCACCATGTTGGAGACATGGATTGAGTTTCTGCCTTCAGGCTGCTCGTCTTGGCACTCCCCAGACCCAGCTAGTGTGGATATTAAGGCAGAGAACCAGTGAATTCAGTATTCTCTCTCTCACCCTTGCTCCCTTACTCTCACACTCAGTTTCTCTCTCGGTTTTTGCTCTTTTTTCCCTACTCTCTGTTTCTGAAATATTATTTAAATTATCATCTTCATAGCTGTCTTTAATCTAGGATCTTTATAATGATTAGTTCTTGGTAATAAACGAAAATTTAACTTTCTGACCAAGAATCATTATGTTTGAATAACCTATCTTTAAAAAAATTTTTTTTTAATTATTAATGGAAACGTTCAAAAATAGTTTTAAAAGAGATACTGGGTTTTTGTGTTCATCTCAGGGAGGTCCCTTGCCTTTGCTGTAGGTCAAGCATGTAAGAAAATATGAAACTAAGGAAATGAAATCTTATTACTTGATCAGACCTTCTTTGTGCATTCATGAAAAATGACTTTTGTAGGATCAGCATTGTGGCTTATTGCTGTCACCAATCACACTGTCATCCATAATGCTGCTACCTCCTGTCCCAGTTGTTATAC